CTCTATGCACATAAACTAGTAAACCTGGAAGAAATGGATAAATTCCTGGACACTTGCCTCCTCCCAAGCCTAAACCAGGAAGAAGTCGAAACCCTGAATAGACCAATAACAAGGTCTGAAGTTGAGGCAGCAATTAAGAGCCTACCACCCAAAGAAAGCCCAGGTCCAGATGGGTTCACAGCCAAATTCTACCAGACATACAAAGAGGAGCTGGTACCATTCCTTCTGAAACTATTCCAGATAATGCAAAAAGAGGGAATCCTTCCCATATCATTTTATGAGACCAACATAATCCTGATTCCAAAACCCGGCAGAGACTCAACAAGAAAAGAAAACTTCAGGCCAATATCCACAATGAACATAGATGCAAAAATCTTCAATAAAATACTGGCAAGCCAATTGCAACAGCACACCAAAAAGCTTATCCACCATGATCAAGTAGGCTTCATCCCAGGGATGCAAGGCTGGTTCAGTATGCACAAGCCTATAAACGTAATTCACCACTTAAACAGAACCAAAGACAAAAACCACATGATTATCTCAATTGATGCAGAGAAGGCCTTGGACAAAATTCAACAGCCCTTTATGCTAAAAACCCTCAATAAGCTCAATATTGACGGAACGTATCTCAAAATAATAAAAGCTATTTACGACAAACCAGCAGCCAATATCATACTGAATGGGTAAAAACTGGAAGCATTCCCTTTGAAATCTGGCACTAGACAAGGATGCCCTCTCTCACCACTCCTACTCAATATAGTACTGGAAGTTCTAGCCAGAACAATCAGGCAAGAAAAAGAAATAAAGGGTATTCAAATAGGAAAGGAGGAAGTCAAATTGTCTCTATTTGCAGATGACATGATTGTATATCTAGAAGACCCCATCGTCTCAGTCCAAAATCTCCTGAAACTGATAAGCAACTTCAGCAAAGTCTCAGGATACAAAATCAATGTGCAAAAATCACAAGCATTCCTATACACCAAGAACAGACTTAAAGAGCCAAATCAAGAACGAACCGCCATTCACAATTGCTACAAAGAGAATAAAGTGCCTAGGAATACAACTAACAAGGAATGTAAAGGACCTCTTCAAGGAGAACTACAAGCTACTGCTTAACAAAATAAGAGAGGACACAAACAGATGGAGAAACATTCCATGTTCATGATTAGGAAGAATCAATATCGTGAAAATGGCCATACTTCCCAAAGTAATTTACACATTCAACGCTATCCCCATCAAGCTACCAATGACCTTCTTCACAGAACTGGAAAAAAACACCTTAAACTGCATATGGAACCAAAAGACAGCCCGCATAGCCAAGTCAATTCTAAGCAAAAATAACAAAGCAGGAGGCATCACACTACCAGACTTCAAACTATACTACAAGGCTACAGTAATCAAAGCAGAATGGTACTGGTACCAAAACAGAGATATAAATCAATGGAACACGACAGAGGCCTCAGAGGCAACACAACATATCTACAACCATCCAGTCTTTGACAAACCTGACAAAAACAAGCAATGGGGAAAGGATTCTCCGTTTAATAAATGGTGTTGGGAAAACTGGCTAGTCATGTGCAGAAAGCAGAAACTGGATTCCTTCCTGACACCTTACACTAAAATTAATTCCAGATGGATTAAAGACTTAAACATAAGACCTAACACCATAAAAATCCTAGAATAAAATCTAGGCAAAACCATTCAGGACATAGGCTTAGGCAAGGACTTCATGACCAAAACACCAAAAGCACTGGCAACAAAAGCCAAAATAGAAAAATGGGACCTAATCAAACTCCACAGCTTCTGTACGGCAAAAGAAACAGTCATTAGAGTGAATCGGCAACCATCAGAATGGCAAAAAATTTTTGCAGTCTACCCATCTGAGAAGGGGCTGATATCCAGAATCTACAAAGAACTAAAACAGATTTACAAGAAAAAAACAAACAAGCCCATTCAAAAGTGGGTAAAGGACATGAACAGACACTTTACAAAAGAAGACATACATGAGGCCAACAAACATGAAAAAATGCTCATCATCACTGTCATTAGAGAAATGCAAATCAAAACTACATTGAGATACCATCTCATGCCAGTTAGAATGGCGATCATTAAAAAATCTGGAGACAACAGATGCTGGAGAGGATGTGGAGAAATAGGAAGACTTTTACACTGTTGGTGGGAGTGTAAATTAGTTCAACCATTGTGGAAGATAGTGTGGCAATTCCTTAAGGACCTAGAAATAGAAATTCCATTTGACCCAGCAATCCCATTACTGAGTATATATCCAAAGGATTATAAATTGTTCTGCTATAAGGACACATGCACACTACTGTTCATTGCAGCACTGTTTACAATAGCAAAGACCTGGAACCAACTCAAATGCCCATTGATGATAAACTAGATAGGGAAAATGTGGCACATATACACCATGGAATATTATGCAGCCATCAAAAACGATGAGTTCGTGTCCTTTGTAGGGACATGGATGAACCTGGAAACCATCATTCTCAGCAAACTGACAGAAGAGCAGAAAATCAAACACCGTATGTTCTCACTCATAGGCGGGTGTTGAACAATGAGAACACATGGACACAGGGAGGGGAGCACTACACACTAGGGTCTGTTGCGGGGAAATGGGGGAGAGACAGTGGGGGTGGGGAGTTGGGGAGAGATAGCATGGGGAGAAATGCCAGATACAGGTGAAGAGGAGGAAGGCAGCAAATCACACTGCCACGTGTGTACCTATGCAACAATCTTGCATGTTCTTCACGTGTACCCCAAAACCTAAGAGGCAATTAAAAAAAATATGTTTTATACTAATTCATTTTGTGCACTATTCCCTAAGGAGTTCTTACAAGTTGGAAGACTTCATTGTGCTTTCTCTGAATGCATTTGTCTTTTTTTTTTGAGATGGTGTCTTGCTCTGTCGCCCAGGCTAGAGTGCAGTGGCGCACTCTTGGCTCACTGCAACCTCTGCCTCCCAGGTTCAAGCATTTCTCCTGCCTCAGCCTCCTGAATAGCTATGATTACAGGCACGCACCACCACGCCTGGCTAATTTTGTGTTTTTAGTAGAGATGGGTTTCACCACGTTCGTCAGGCTGGTCTCGATCTCCTGACGTCGTGATCTGCCTGCCTTGGCCTCCCAAAGTGCTAGGATTAGAGGCGTGAACCACCACACCCGGCCACATATTTGTCTTTCAAAAACTTAATTTAGGTGGCACTGTATCAGTGGACAGGGTTATCACGTAGAGTAGTAATGGCTCCCTTAGAGTAGAATAAAGGATAGGTCTAAAAAGAAAATCTCGTTTACTTTCTTTTATAAACTTGGTATCTTTTTACATAAAATTGAGAAGCTTCCATCCAAAGAAAAAATAAAAAAGAACTTGGAACATTTTATAACTTTTAAAATACAATTTTTACTTTTAATGGGTTCAGATCAGAGAATTGTTATCTTAGCCCTTAAAAAAGAATCAGAAAATTGTTTCTTTTGAGTCAGAAAATAAGGTCACAATAGAAATTTGATACGTTTCTTCCTGCCCACTCTGAAAATACTAAGAACTAGTGTCTTAAAGCACAGACTCATTTCCAGAAAACATCCAGTACCAATTATTTGGCTCTTCCAATTTGAAGTTAAAATCAAATCTCTACTTGACTTAAAGGGGTTTATTTTTTTTGAAATTAGATACATAAGTGGCAAATTGTGTTTGTTCCATAGCTGTGGTAAAACTTTTGACTTTCTTTGTGCACCATCTTTTATATCTCTAGGCAACAGGAAAGGATAAATTCACAGAGGGAAGAGATAGAAAGACAACGGAAAATGTTAGCAAAACGGAAACCTCCTGCCATGGGTCAGGCCCCTCCTGCAACCAATGAGCAGAAACAGCGAAAAAGCAAGACCAATGGAGCTGAAAATGAAACGTATGTTCTTTATTGACATGAATTCTGAGACACCACACCCTGCCCCCAAATACAAATGTCCTGTTGATTGCCACTGGCAAGAGTTATAAATTCTGGAGGTCACTTCTTTTCAGTTATTTTAATGGATTTGCTCAACTCATATGAATGCCATATAAAATTAACTGATTTTCTTAAACCTGTTCTTTATTGAAGGCATTTCAAATGAGAGGGAAAAGTAATGTCACTTGACATCATGATTTTTGGCCACTCCTGGTTAACAAATAAGATGTCATTATACTGAAATGATACTATTGCGCACATGTGGCTCCAGGTGTGATACACTAGTATCATCTTACGGGAGTTGCCTGGCTTCTATTTCAGACTGAAGAATGCTCTTTACTGGTCAGACGAGCACTTAGTTAATAGTTGCAAACTTCAGATAAACCCCCCAAAAAGCTGTTATATTAGAAAAAGGACATTGTCACAATAAGCCAAAACTTGACTCATCAGAATTGTTTCCTATTCTGGGAATCTGAGGAAAACGCCAGTATCTTAAACTGCAGTACAGTCATCTTTCCTCTGTCAATCAACAATATTTACGTAGCTACCATGTATAGGAAGAGTAGAAAATTCTAAGCACAAATAAATGCCTGCCTTCTCCATTCATGTCTTCTTTTCTCTTTAACTGTAAGTAAATTTCATGTCCAAAGATAGCTACAAATAAAAGATATGATATCATATAACTAATCAACTAATATGTCATTTGCTTTATATTTTTATATTAGTTCACAAATACAACACATAATCCACTTCAGGTATAATATTATTGTTAAAAGTCTGTGACATCCTAGGAATGCATCTTCCTTCATTCTAGTGAGAAAGATGGCTTAACACGAATCCTTACCCCATACGTATCTGATGTTTTGGGAAGTCTTTTTCTTGATATTCATTTAGTAAGTCTATGTTAAATGCTTATTTTATGCTAGGCCCTCTTCTGGGAATACAGAGCTAAAGGATTCAGCCCCAGCCTTAGGAGCCCACAGTTTACTTAGGTGAGATGAACAGATAAATAAACTAATAATTACATTAAGTTTAGCGATTAAAATGTGCATAATGAACTTGGAAAACATCTTGATTCATAAAACTCCAATTTTGTTTTTTTTTGAGACAAAGTCTCATTCTGTCACCCAGGCTGGAGTGCTATGGCACAATCTTGGCTCACTGCAACCTCCACCTCCCAGGTTCAAGCCTTTCTCCTGCTGCAGCCTCCTGAGTAGCTAGGACTACAAGCGCACCACCACAGCCAGCTAATTTTTGTATTTTTAGTAGAGATGGGGTTTTGCCATGTTGGCCAGGCTGGTCTCAAACTCCTGATCTCAAATGATCCACCCTTCTCGACCTCTCAGATTGCTGGGATTACAGGTGTGAGCTACTGCACCCGTCCCAAATGTTTTAAAATTAGAGTCTTTTTTTCCCTTGATTTTAAAGACTAGTCAAGTGCAGTAATGAGAATGAGAATAGGGCAAGAGTATTGAGTCTTCAAGTATTTTCCTTTCAGTAAGTCCAAGTAGGGGCTCAGATCTGAAAGATTCTCCAGGCTAATTAATCTGATCAGTGTTTTCTTTCACGACTCCTGTGTTTATTTTGTGAAGGGACTTCCCCTCTAGTATCACTTGAAAATTATTTAATGCTGATGCATAAAATAATTGGCTTAGGAGTGAGGAAGAAGGCAAAGGTTGTTTCTTTGCCACAGAACAATAGTTAGAATGGAATCTAGGCTAGTAATGTGTAAGCAGTTGGCATCTGGAATCCTGTGTAAAATCCAAGCTAGAAGACCTTCAGTCCAGTTTTTAATTAGAGTATCTGTGACTTGGCTCTTACTTTGACCGGAAGCCAGATATAGGCCTCTGGAGTCTTGGAGTAAGTCATAATATCCTTTCTTGGCCCTGAACCTGTTTCAGACAGAGAATTCTTAGCCATGATTTTTTATTTCTCTGTTTTTTTGCTAGTGTGAAATGGAGTAGTAGATGCAGGTATTTCTATGTCTATAAAGAGCCCTAGTGGATGAGTTTCTTCTTCTATTTTCCTTGAGTTAGACATCAAAGGCTCTGATCTGGTTAATAGGATAGGCGTTTCCTCTTTCTTCTGCAATTTAGAATATATCTAAACAGTGATATCTAAAAATGTTAAGTATCTGTGTACGCTTCTAGAATGTGAAGCGGTAGAGATGGGAGGAAGAATAAATTAATAATTGTAACTTACTCATCTTTTTTTTCCTTTTTTTTTTTAAAGAGAGCCTTGCTCTGTTGCTCAGGCTGGAGTGCAGTGGCATGATTATAGCTCACTATAGCCTCAACTTCCTGAGCTTAAGCAGTCCTTCCATCTCAGCATCCTGAGTAGCTGGGACTACAGGCATATGCCACCATGCCCAGTTTTTTCTTCCCCTCCCCACCCAGAGACAGAGTCTTGCTTTGTTGCCCAGGCTGGTCTTGAACTCCTGGCTCCAAGCGATCTTTCCCCTCAGCCTCCCAGACTACTGGCCACTTGTTGATTCTTAAGATATAAGGATGCTGTTGGAGTAGGTAGAACATGAAACATGTGAATACCCATCAAGTCAGCCCTTTGAGAACTGGTTTAGATAGGATTTTCATTGTTCTTTTTTCGTTGTCATTTAATAGTCACAACGTTTTCTTAGATAGGTGTTATCACTTGGCTGCATTTCAAAACCGAGTTAAGAAGTTAAAGTTTGTTTGCCCAAGGTCGCATGGCCAGTAGATTATTAATGCCTTGAACTCTAGTCCTCAGACTCCAAATCGTAGACTCTAACTTGCTTTTATGTCTTTCTCTTTGTTATTATAGTATCAAGGTTTAAGTGTTAACAAGAATAATCAAATCCATTGGCTTACTGTTTTGGCCTCTAAAAAATTTTTAGACAACTTTTGGCTCTCTCTGAATGAGTTTTTAATCTGAGTAATATATGGGACGAAACTCATTTCAAAAATAATATTAAAATGTCGTTAGAAGAAAGTCGTTAAGAAAAAGAAAAAAAATTTAAAATATGACTCCCCTATTTTTTTTTTTTTTTTTTTTTTTTTTTTTTTTTTTTTTTTTTTTTTTTTTTTTTTTTTTATGTCTTGCAAGTTAGGCTTTTTGGCTTTGAAGTCTTTCCCTCACATCATATCTGGTAAATCACGGAAGTTTTTTCTTGTCAGAGGACTACAGGATAACCTATCCTTCAGTGATTCACTGAAACTGAATTTGTCTTATTGTATATTTGGACTTTTCTCTTCAAATAGGCAAACTATGATTTCAAGTAATTTACTGAAACTTTTACCACTGTTTTTCAGGTTAACATTAGCAGAATACCACGAACAAGAAGAAATCTTCAAACTCAGATTAGGTCATCTTAAAAAAGTAAGTATAATGAGGAAATCTCTCTGGAGAAATGTGTTACCCAGTTTACATTTAGGATTGAAGCTATTTGGTCATTTGGGTGAATGTAATAGTAGTTTCACCTAGCGGCAGAAAGCTTGAGTGACTGCTTTCACTGTTACGTCTCGTAGCCTAATGGGAGAACTCCTGTCTTTCCGTTTTCTTTTTTTTTGTTTCTGAAATGGAGCCTCACTCTGTCTCCCAGGCTAGAGTGCGGTGGCATGATCTTAGCTCACTGCAACCTCTGCCTTCTGGGCCCAGGTGATTCTTGTGCCTCAACCTCCTGAGTTGCTGGGATTACAGGTGTGTGCCACCACACCTGGCTAATTTTTGTATTTTTAGTAGAGATGAGGGTCTCACCGTCTTGACCAGCTGGTCTCAAACTCCTGACCTCAAGTGATCCTCCTGCCTTGGCATCCGAAAGTGCTGGGATTACAGGTTACAGTTGTGAGCCACCATTCCTGGCCTGTCTTTCCATTTTCAAGTCAATTCCAGCAACCCAATGAGAGTGTTTTTACCAGTGGCATATCAGCAGATAACTCTGAACATATAAGGCTTCCCAAGTGGTTATCTTTGGAGTGAAACTTAACTATTTTTTAAATATTTAAATTTTAAGAGCAGGTGGTTTTAAAATTGATGTTAAGACTTCTGTCATATTTTAAATCACATATCAGCTCTTATTTCTTGCCTAAACTAGCTAATAAGAGAAAGTCTTATGCCAATCTTATTCAAACACAAAGGCACATAACATAGAATTTGTTATTAATGACGTTCACTAAGATATCTTAGATGTAGATTGCTCAGCTCTTGAATTCAGAAACCCATACATTGGTGGATGCTATTTATGGTGATAATGGTTAGTAAGGATTTACTGAACTGCTTTTGGTATATGTGCATTTGTTTGTTTTTTATTTCACATACTAGTTTTCATGCCGTTTTTCCTGCTGGGTTCTCAGAGCTTGTTAAATAAGTAGAACTTAAGGCATCAAGAGTAATCCATACTTAAAGACAAGGACCAGATAGATAACCTGATTTTTGTAAAAATTATTTCCATGTCTATGTGTATATGCACAAAACATTTCTGAAAACTTAACGTAAGAAATTTGATAGTGGCTACATCTTGGGTGTGGCTGTGGAGAGGAGGGAGGAGGAGGGTAGAGAACTTCTGCTTTTCTCACTGAACTCCTCTGTATGTTTTGAATTTCATTCTTTTCTTTTCTTTTTTTTTTTTTTTTTTTTTTTTTTTTTTTTTTTTTTTTTTTTTTTTTTTTTTTTTTTTTTGTTTTTTTTTTTTTTTTTTTTTTTTGAGACAGAGTCTTGCTCTGTTGCCCATGCTGGAGTGCAGTGGCTCGATCTCAGCTCACTGCAACCTCTGCCACCTGGGTTCAAGTGATTTTTCTGCCTCAGCATCCCGAGTAGCTGGGATTACAGGCACGTGCCACCACGCCTGGCAAATTTTTGTATTTTTAATAAAGATGGGGTTTCAGCATCTTGGCCAGACTGGTCTTGAACTCTTGACCTCATGGTCCACCCATCTCGGCCTCCTGAAGTGCTGGGATTACAGTCGTGAGCCACTGCACCCAGCCTTTGACTTTTATTATTTTCTATAGGCTTATTATGATTAAAATTCTTACCTTTTAAAAAGAAATCTTTCAATGCAAAACACCTTTCTTTAGCTTTTCATAAGATAAATGTCTGCTGTTGCTTTTGAAATAAGATCCCGGAAAGGTAAAGTTCCTCATATTTTGAGCTATTTCTTTCTTTTTTGCTTTAGGAGGAAGCAGAGATCCAGGCAGAGCTGGAAAGGCTAGAAAGGGTTAGAAATCTACATATCAGGGAACTTAAAAGGATACATAATGAAGATAATTCACAGTAAGCAACTTGGGGGTATATTGGGTTGGAGATTACTAAGCACTTTCTGATATGAATTGAATGGTCTGGAATAATGCATTTGCTTAATATAAGTTACATAAATGATTCCATAGTGTATAGCTCTTTTGTAGCATCTAATACAATTTTGTGAATAAAACTATGATTTGCCTTGGTTTAAATATATAATTGTATTAAATTTATGTGTTAAGTATATATGTGTATACACATAGCATTTTTACCTGAGTAGAGATTATTAAAACAATATGGCTTTGTAATTGTAAATGGCTGAAATACATTGCATATTCAGTTTTACCTACAGAGCCTTAAGAAAGGGAAGCATGGGTCATAGTGTGGTGTTGTGGAAAGAATATTGGGCTGAGATGACAATTAGTTTCTGAATGACCTTTAAGAGCCATTCAGGTGTTGAGACTTTAAGTGAGACTGTTAAGTTCAGTATATTAATTGTAGATTAATGCCCACCATTGTTTATTAGTCATTTAAGGAATTGAAGATGGGAAAAGTAGGTTGAAAGTAGAAAGGGGCTTTTATAAGTAATCTGGTTTTTTCCCACATTTTTCGGACCCTGAAACATTTTTTCACAAAGCCACAGCGTGCATGTTTTTGTTTGGCTTATAAGAGCTATGGACCTTTCTTTCTGCTAGAGTGGCAGACAACAGCAGGGACTGCTTCCTGAAAACTCTGTGTATCAGGCTTGATCCTAAGTGCCCTTAGTGCTCTCATTTAATCCTCAGGATAACCCAGTCATCTTCAATACATCAGTCAGAAAACAAGCTTAGAGAAATTAAGTTAACTTGACCAGGGACCCATAAATAATGTGACCAAAGAGTTAAACTTGGATCTTTTTCATCCCAACCACCATGCAGTAATGTATCTCCAAATAGGCATGCTACTTTCTTAAAATCAAAGTAAAGTAATTTCAGGATTAATGGTGAGATTTTGTAAGATCAGGAACTAGGTAAGAATATTTTAAAATTTGTTTTTGCCAGAACTTGTCATTTCTTTATCATATTAATTAAGAAACTACCCAGGGTGAAATGTAAGATGGGGAACATAGTTATATCATAGACTTTGTCTTAAAGAGAGAATAATGAATGCACATAGAACATGTGACTTCACTACTCTACAATCAATTTTTTTTTTTTTTTTTTTTTTTTTTNCTCCGCCTCCTGGGTTCAGGCAATTCTCCTGCCTCAGCCTCCTGAGTAGCTGGGACTACAGGCACGCGCCACCATGCCCAGCTAATTTTTTGTATTTTTAGTAGAGACGGGGTTTCACTGTGTTGACCAGGATGGTCTTGATCTCTTGACCTTGTGATCCACCCGCCTCAGCCTCCCAAAGTGCTGGGATTACAGGCTTGAGCCACCGCGCCCGGCCTCTACAATCAATTTTTAAGGAAAAAGCAAATGTCTTGGAATTTTACTGTATGTAGTTTGGAAATGGTGGGATCATGTGGACCTTGTATAGTTTGGAGGAGCCAAATGCACAATTTAAAAATCCCTAATCAAGTCTAATCTACCCTCGCTCATTGTGTAGCAGGGCAGAAAAAAGGAGGAACAACAAAGGTCACAGATCTAGTGTAGCTACACTGAAACCAGCGCTCAAGTCCTGTGGCTCTACAGCTAGTGCTATTCATTGTAATTATGCTGCCTCTTTGAACTGTGTAAATTTATTCTCAGAATTTGCCATGCTGATGTTGATTGTCAAACTACCAACAGCAGCTATAATTGTATGTATAATGTGTTAGATATTCTGGGAATTTTGCAAGCATGGAAGACTGTAGTCTATGATCTCAGGGTGTTACATATTTTCTGTTTCCACAGATTTAAAGATCATCCAACGCTAAATGACAGATATTTGTTGTTACATCTTTTGGGTAGAGGGGGTTTCAGTGAAGTTTACAAGGTAAGCATAAGGAACTGGGAACAAAGACTGGGGGTTAAATTATCAGCTATTACTGAGTTGGAGAACATTAAGAATACCGATAATTGTAGGTTGATATCCATTGAAATTCAAAAACTTTAAAAACCTGTATCTTTGGGAAAACAGCTTTCAATAAACCTAGATGACTAAGCAGGATACAATATTGATATGTTTAAGTTTGAAAAATAAATACTTATAGATTTAAAAAGCAAGAAGGAAATATACTAGGTGGTGGAATTATGGTGATTTTTATTCTGGTTCTGTACTTTCTGCGTCACACGCATTTGTTAGAAAAGAGTATGTGCTACCTTTATTTCCTTTACAGAATAGATCTGTAAAGCCTATTTCCAATAAGAATAGTTTTTTTTTTTAATTGGAAAACCTGCTTTTTGTTTTAAAAGTGTTATAATATATAATATTATAATATAATACTAGCACTGGCAGTCTGAAAGAGTGTCCTGGCTTAGAGTGCTTCAGTTGGGCCAGCAAAGTACAGGTTGCTGAGCCTCCAGGTTGATTTTTACCAAATGAGGGATCCAGCATGTTTTAATTATAGCTACAGATCCATAACATGTGGATTGAATTTTTCTACCTGTTTCTGGAACCAGTCTGTAAAATACAGAATTGTAATAGTCTTCATTGTACAGCTCTGCCTTTCAAAGGTTTAGCCTTCACTGTTAGGATTTATGTTATGCTCATATGAATTTATATATGGGAAATCTTTTTAGTAAAATAGTTTTCATTACAAATAAAAATGGTAAAACTGGTTCTATGGTTTTCTTTTTTTTCCTATGGTGGATTTATTTATTTATTTAGACAGGGTTTTGCTCTATTGCCCAGGCTGCAGTGAGGTGGCATAATCATAGTTCATTGCAGCCTCAAACCGCTGGACACGAGCTAGCCTCCTGGCTTAATGTCTTGAGTAGCTGGGACTACAGGCCCTGTACACTAATTTTTAAATTTTTTGTGGAGACACGGTCTCACTGCATTTCTCAGGCAGGTCTCTAACTTCTGGGCTCAAGCAATCCTCCTGCCTTGGCCTCTCAAGGTGCTGAGATTACAGGTGTGAGCCACCGCACCCAGCTCTGATTTTAAGTATACGTTTCATTGGCATTAAGTACCTTCACAATGTTGTGCAACTGATATAACTACATCACTATTCATATCCAGAACTATATAACGATTTTAGTACACTACTGTATTGGTTTTGATATTCTAGTATCTCTGTTTTTTGGGGGGGAGACATTGTCTCACTCTGGCACCCAGGCTAGAGTACAGCAGTGCATTCTGAGCTCACTGCAACCTCCCACTCCAGAGCTCTAGTGTCCTCCCATCTCTGCCTCCCAAAGTGCTGGAATTACAGGCGTGTACCACCATACTTGGCTAATTTTTGTATTTTTTTGTAGAGACAGGGTTTCATCATGTTGCCCATGCTGGTCTCAAACTCTTGGACTCAAGTGATCACCCACCTTGGCCTCCCAAAGTGTTGGGGTTACAGGCGTGAGCCACTGTGCCCAGCTTCTAGTATCTTTTTTTTTTTTTTGAGACGGAGTTTCGCTCTTGTTACCCAGGCTGGAGTGCAATGGCGCGATCTCGGCTCACCGCAACCTCCGCCTCACCGCAACCTCCGCCTCCTGGGTTCAGGCAATTCTCCTGCCCCAGCCTCCTGAGTCGCTGGGATTACAGGCACGCGCCACCATGCCCAGCTAATTTTTTGTATTTTCAGTAGAGATGGGGTTTCACCATGTTGACCAGGATGGTCTCGATCTCTTGACCTCGTGATCCACCCGCCTCGGCCTCCCACAGTGCTGGGATTACAGGCTTGAGCCACCGCGCCCGGCCGCTTCTAGTATCTTATTTGTATTTTTAAATCTGTGCTTATAAGCAGGATTGGCCCTTAGTCACCTTTTGTATGCAAGTAGCTTTATCAAAGTTTGATGTCATAATTATCCTAACTCCTTAGATACAGTGAGTTGTGAAGTCTCTTTTTCCATGCTCTGGAACCCTTTTCATCACTTGGGAATTGTTGGCTCCTTGAAAGTTTGTTAGAATTGACTCACACAAATCTGGGCAGGCCGGATGCTGTGGCTCATGTCTATAATCCCAGCATTCTGGGAGGCTGAGGCGGGAGGATCACTTGAGCCTAGGAGTTTGAAACCAGCCTGGGCAGCATAGTAAGACCCTGCCTCTACAAAGGAAGAAAAGAAAAATCACCTGGGAGATGTTGAGTTTGTGGAAAACATTTGACTATCTTTTCAATTTCTTCTACAACAATTGATATCTTAAGATTTTCTCTCCCTTCTCAAGTCAGTTTTGGTAATTTAATTTTTCTAAGAAATCTATTTCATTTAGATTTTTTGTTTTTTTCTTTTTTAGCAGAGAAAGGGTTTCATTATGTTGCCCAAGCTGGTCTCAAACTCCTAGCCTCAAGTGATCTTCACCCCTTAGCCTTCCAAAGTGCTGGGATTACAGCTACCATGCTGGGCCTCGATTTTTGAAAAATATTTTCCACATCTTAGTTATTTCTCTGTTCTTATAAAATTTTTATTTTTGTGTTTCTTGACTGATAGGCTAGAGATTCGTAGGTGGTGTTATTAATTTTTTTCTAAGAATCAACTTTTATTTCGTTGATCAAATCTGCTGTTTGGTTAGTTTTCTTTTTCATTAATGTCTCCTTTCATTCCTTCCATCTACTTTCTTCATTTTTATTTATGTTCAGTCTTAAGTCAATGCTTAGTTTCTTTGTAATTTTTTATTGTAAAAAGATAGATACAAAACGTACCATCTTAAGCATTTTTAAGTGTATAGTTTAGTAACGTACATTCAAGTTATTGTGAAACATATCTCTAGAACTTTTTTTCATCTTCCAAAACTGAAACTCTGTAGCCATTAATCAACTTTCCTTTTCCCCTCCTTTTGTCCTTGGAGCCACCATTCTACATTTTGTTTCTCTGAATTTGACTACGTTTAGATTTCTTAGAGAAGTGGAATCATACTGTCTTTTTATAATCAGCTTTTTTTACTTAGCATAGTGTCCTCAAGGTTAATCTGTGCTATAGCATGTGACAGGATTTCCTTCCTTTTTAAGGTCACTTAATATTTTATTGTATGCACCACATTTTGTTTATCCTCCTATGCCAGTGAACACTTGGATTGCTTCCACTTCTTGTCTATTGCGTATAGTGCTGTACTGGTTTGTGTTTTTTGTTCTTTTGAGATAGAGTCTTGCTGTACCACCCAGGCTGGAGTGCAGTGGTACAATTTCCCCTCGATGCAGTGTTCATCTCCTGGGTTCAAGTGATCCTCCTGCCTCAGCCTCCCCAGGTAGCTGGGATTACAGGCATGCACCATGCTCAGCTATTTTTCTTTCTTTCTTTTTTTTTTTTTTTTTTGAGACGGAGTTTCGCTCTTGTTACCCAGGCTGGAGTGCAATGGCGTGGTCTCGGCTCACCGCAACCTCCGCCTCCTGGGTTCAGGCAATTCTCCTGCCTCAGCCTCCTGAGTAGCTGGGATTACAGGCACACGCCACCATGCCCAGCTGATTTTTTGTATTTTTAGTAGAGACAGGGTTTCACCATGTTGACCAGGATGGTCTCGATCTCTTGACCTCGTGATCCACCCGCCTCGGCCTCCCAAAGTGCTGGGATTACAGGCGTGAGCCACCGCGCCCGGCTTTTTTTGTATTTTTTAGTAGAAATGGGGTTTCTCTGTGTTGGCCAGGCTGTTCTCAAACTCCTGACCTCAAATGATCCACTTGCCTCAGCCTCCAAAAGTGCTGGGATTATAGACATGAGCCACCACATCCAGCCTGTTTTGTATTTGGGTGTCCAAATATCTCTGTGAGACTCTGCTTTTAATTCTTTTGGATGTATACTTAGAAGTGTATGTGATTTAAATTATCAAAATTGGTTCTTGGTGCTTCCTAGTTACTTTTAGTAATTTCATCATCTTATTTTCCTAATGTATTTTTTCAAACATTTCTTTTCTTTTTTTTTTTTTTTTTTTTTGCGGTGGGGGGAGACAGTCTCACTCTGTCCTTCTGGCTCCAGTGCAGTGGCATGTGCTCTTAATGTAGTTTTTCTTTCGCTGTTCTCCACACTCCACAATGCTTTCTTAAGTCAGTGGTAGATCACAGTGTCTTGGATTTAGAAGTACAGTGTAGAAGTTAGAGAAAATTATGCTTGAAATAGCATTGGTGCTCTCATAAATTGGGCGGTATTTAATTTTTTTTATTATTATTATTTGAAATGGTTTTCTACTGTGAAGTCATTATGGTATTCATGATTGTGGATGGACTGAAGACTCTGTAAAGAAGAGGAGTTCAAATATTTCCATTTTTAGCTAGGCATGGTGGCTTATGCCTCTAACCCAGTACTTTGGGAGGCCAAGGTGGGAAGCTTACTTGAGGCCAGGAGTTCAAGACCAGCCTGGCAAACACATTGAGGCCCTGTCTATATAAAAAGAGAAAAATAAAAAAAGTTTCTGTTTTTGTGAAATAAGATATTATGTCTGAAGTGAGTTTTATACTTTAAACATACTGGTTTTAATTTGGTATAAATAATGGAAGTTTCTGTATTTTATAAGCAGCACTCTAGATGCAGTGCTTACCTAGAGAAATTTAGGTTTAGAAAAATCTGTAGTGATCACCTATTTATGGACTGTTTTCTGCACTTATTGCCTTAATCAATTTGTATATTTGTGGAAATTAGCAGATGGGTGATAAAGTATTGAAACTGAAGTAGTAAACTTTTAATCCGAACTTTACAAACTAAGAAAAACTTTATTCTAAAGGAGCTATGCAATAAAATCTTTTGTATGGAGGGAAATCTTCAATTTTATTGAAAGATTACTTAATCAAATTATGATTTACACCTAGCTTCCTCAAAAAAATCCATGTTACCTTTTGAATCCTGTGCCTTAGCACTATCTAGCTGATGCAGGACTTGCTGGCAGTGGTGGCCTTTGGGGAAAGCCTGTTCCTGCCTCTGGACAGTGCTGGAGAAGTGACTTGGTGTAACTAACTTAAGCCATTGTTGGGATTAAAAACTGCTTTTTGCCGGGCGTGGTGGCTCAAGCCTGTAATCCCAGCACTGTGGGAGGCCGAGGCGGGTGGATCACGAGGTCAAGAGATCGAGACCATCCTGGTCAACATGGTGAAACCCCGTCTCTACTAAAAATACAAAAAATCAGCTGGGCATGGTGGCGCATGCCTGTAGTCCCAGCTACTCAGGAGGCTGAGGCAGGAGAATTGCCTGAACCCAGGAGACGGAGGTTGCGGTGAGCCGAGATCGCGCCATTGCACTCCAGCCTGGGTAACATGAATGAAACTCCGTCTCAAAAACAAAACAAAACAAAAAAAAACTGCTTTTTGGCCGGGCGTGGTGGCTTACACCTGTAATCCCAGCATGTTGGGAGGCCAAGGCAGGCAGCTCACGAGGTCAGGAGTTCGAGACCAGCCTAACCAACGTGGTGAAACCCCGTCTCTACTAAAAATACAAAAATTAACCAGGCGTGGTGGTGCACATGTGTAATCCCAGCTACTCAGGTGGCTGAAGCAGGAGAATCACTTGAGTCTGGGAGGTGGAGGTTACAGTGAGCCAAGATTGTGCCATTGCACTCCAGCCTGGATGAGGAACAGACAGAGCAAGACTCTGTCTCAAAACAAAAGCAAACAAACAAAAAAACTGCTTTTCATTTACCCACCATATTTAGATGGAGCTAAAGGGTTTTTTTGTTTTTGTTTTTGTTTCTCTTTTTATTTTAATAAACAATATGCCAAATTATAGGGTTATTTTGTATACAATCATACCAAGGAAGTATATTGTGAGAGGTTATTTTCTCCACAAAGCAGGCAATGTGTGTCCCTAGGATTTCAAAAGTGGCAGAATATTTGAAGCTTACAAAGTCCCAGTGTCAGCTGAAGGACAAAAGACAACCTAAGGGTGTTGGGTCCCAGATGGGAATAGATGGTGTCCAGAAACAGAATGGTTGGGAAATAATTTTGAAGGCAGAGGCTATCTTTCTGTTTGTGGTATTGGCCTGGTTTTGTGTTCTAAACCCCTTGGTGCCAGTGTGTCTACAGACTTCTAAATTATCTAATCACAGGTTTCAAGAAGATGGTTGCAACACTGATATAAGTATGTGATGTATTTAATAATGTATTTTGGACTTTGATTATGTTATATGTTAAATAGAAGCTTCAAATCAGTTGCCTGTAATTTTTAACATTTATCCAGTATATAATTTATTCGCTTGCTTTATAGGCATTTGATCTAACAGAGCAAAGATACGTAGCTGTGAAAATTCACCAGTTAAATAAAAACTGGAGAGATGAGAAAAAGGAGAATTACCACAAGTAAGTGATACTAGAGTGTCTGACTTTTCAAAATTAAATAATACCTGTAGTTTGAGTATTATGCTACGAGCTTTACATACATTGTTTTTGGTTTTTGTTTTATGTAATCTTCATAACTACCCTAAGAGAATGAGTATATTCTCAGTGTTACTGATGAGGAAACCGATGCTTACAGAATTTGAGTAACAGGAAGTGGCTGAGCTGGTATTTAAATCCAGACTTCCCTTAATCCAAAGCCCTGGTGCTCTTAACCTTCCATTCCTTTGTGGCTAGAAATAGCTGTAGTAAATAAAGCCTTAGAAATCATTGTTGCTTGTATATAGAAACCAGACCTTAGGGAGCTGCTGGTGGGCATTTTCTGCTACTTCAGTCATTTCCTTCTGGAAGAGACTGGGGGCACCTGGTGTGTCTTGGTGATACCTGTTTGACTTGTTCAGCCTCTCCGTGCTGTGTTCTCCTTCCCATCACAGTTTGCCTGTCTCAAAGTTCTCCATCTTCAGGGTCCCACTTTCTGTGCTTGCCTCTCTACAAAATGCCATCAGTGGCAGCCCTCATCTGGACTTGGGGCAGGGGTAGGGAGGGGGGCTTCTTTAGAATGAATTGTTATTACATGCACAGCTGTGAATTGCTTTGTTCCACTAATGTCAGGTTTTGCCTATATTCCCCCTGAGCTTCTGAATATTGGAGTTCGTGGCTCATTTGCTTTAGAGGCTATGCAGACTTAATTTCTATTAGGTTCCCCACTGGGCTTAGTTTTGTTTCTTTGTTGTTGGTACAAGTATTGAATTAGACAAGTCCTGCCTCTGAAAGGAGGGGACGAGTTCTTTTGATAAAACAAACACCTCCAATCTATAGAGGCAGTCTTGTTTTTTTTTTTTTTTCTTGTAAATAATAATTTGGAGGGGGAAAAACAGTGGACTTTGAAGTAGCCCTTTAGTTGGCTTCTAACCGGGTCCAAGGCAACTCTTGCTCTATAACTCTTGTTCATCAGGGACCCAGGAGTTCTTCCTGTTCCAGACAGATGAGCAGTGGTACTCAGCACTGGAGAAGGGAAGGTTCCTGCTACATTAAGAGCAACAGGGCTTAGCAGAGGGAGGAGAAGAGATGACGTGTGGCATCCTTCCTGTTTCTTAGGTGACAGGCAACTGCAGTCCAGATGCTCCTGAGGAGCAGTTACATTATTATAAGAACATTCCCGTCACTTGATGTGTAGGGATGAGTGGCACGCAGCAGTGAATGCCAGGAGCACTTCAGAGAAGGAGAGCACATGTTGTTCTGACCAGTTATCAATGAGCAGTGCCCCTACTGTATTGAGACCTTAAGAATGCCTAAGGGTATTGGACCAGTACATGCTTCTCTTTAAAAATGCCCTCCAGGGACCAACCTTGATCAAGCTTGAGAACCATAGTTCCTGTGCTGAGATGTACATGTATTTTGCCTAGTCTCAGTATCCAGGTTTCTGGCTGACCTTGCAGAGAACTCTAGTGTTGGATACCACAGCAACTGCAGGTAGGGGTTCTGCTCATCTAGCCTTTTGAAACAGTGAGGAGTGGAAGCCTGGCCTTGTCCCTCCTTCAAACAGTTGGCAAGCGGTTTGCGTCCCAGCAGGTATGGATCGGGTATTTTATCACATACGTCTCTGCAGACAGAATCAGAGAGCACGTAAAGGAGATGGTCTTATCTGTCTAAGCTGTTTGCCATTCAAGTTCCAGGCTGGCATTGGTGCCTTCTTACTGTGTTTCCTCATCAGAGGGGGGATCATGTTGCCTGAGCTCATCTGAGCAGGGGCCATTTCCCATTTGGCAGACACCCTGGGGAGAGGAGGGTATGTGCAGTTTTTGTGACCTCTTTTCTTGCTTGATGGGGGGAGTTCTTTTTTTTTCCAGTCAGGAAGCAGCACTGGGGATAATTCTTTTTTTTTTTTTTTTTTTT